TTAATCTATCATGGTATATTAATACTGTAATAGCATTAATACTAAGAATATCTCCTATCATGTTCAAGATAGTGTGCTGGCACTAATTTCTTGTAACATCAACAAATACTGTCTTTTCAGAGTCTTCTTGTGTGTGTGTGTGTGTGTGTGTGTGTGTGTGTGTGTGATTTTTAGATTGTTCTGTGAATAATGAGCACCTAAGTGACAATGTTTTATATAATGTTTGCGGGGCGGTGGGGGGGGGGGGTCTGTGATGGGATTGGGTTGCCAATGTGTTTAACAGTGCAATTTCTGTTGTTACTGGTATAATTACCTTTATTTATTTGTTTTTAAATGGAGAGGCAGTGCTCTGTTTGGTGCTTTTTAAATTTCAATAATAGCTACGTTTCATGGGTTGGTGATCAGGAAGACATGATTTCTGCTTGGTGGAGTTTAACTACATCAGCTCTTGATGTATATTTTGATGTTTTCTATGCCCACGGATACAAGAAGTTTCCAAGCTAAATAGGAAAAAAATAATTAAGAAAAGAAGATAGGAGCTACAGGGAGGCAAATTCCAGATTAATCAGTGTCAAGGAAGATTTTTAATCATTAAGACAATCCATTAGTATAAAACAGTCTAACTAGCTCTTTGACAGAGGAGTGAGTATACAGTATTATGTGACTTTCATTCTTACCTGGCCTGAGTGCTTAGACCAATTGCATTTGAAGTCCCTCTGATACTTTGCTCAGGGCTTAAAAGTGGGGAGAGCCAGGTAAAGAATCCCCTCCTCCCTCTGCCTCACACAAAAGGGATGTTTTTTTTTTCCAAAGGCAATCTCTCTGTTGTTGATACTCAGTCTGATTCCACCTATTATCTATCCCTGTAAAGTGAAATTATTGGTCTTTCTGAATAGAGGTTTCCTTCACCTTGGACAACAAAACAATTTAAAAAAATGGTCTTTGTGCCCAACTGGACAACTTCCTGGAATTACTGTGATTAATTCTCCTTTGTTCCCCCCCCCCCTCCAATTCATTGTCCTAGGTGTACTCTCTATATTTATAAATCTTTAATTGAAATGTACTTAGCTAAAATGCTAACAGAGATTCCAGCGATCATTTTGAAATCCTAAGATTTCATTATTCATTAGACCTGGACTGGATCTTAGGAAATGATCTTCTCTTTTCAGCCTCTCTTTTCAGTCTTGTTCATTCCATCCCATGCTGGCTAGTGTACTTGCCACCTACCACCTTGTGGTAGTTGAGACCTGAAATGGTGGAGAAGTATCAAGGGAGCCTTCCTTCAGGTGTGTTGCAGTTTTGGTCGCAGACATCCCAGGATCCTGCTCCTGGCATTCCGGCACTCGTTTGCTATATCGTCTGCCATGACCACCCCAGCCCCGCACTTGCTTCATCAGTTGTGCTTCAAATAGCTGCAAAGCTCACTTTTTCTGTTTAAATGTCCTTGGATTCTTCCTGTGTTTATTCCACAGCTGATGAGATCATTGGCATATTTGAACATTCTCTTACCCCCTTCCTCCTGCTGAACTCCTACATACCAGAGCAGGTCTTGATTTTTTTTTCACATTAATATTTTAATCTGCTTTATAGGCATTCCGTGGTGTTTCACAAAGTACGGCTGTTAGAATTGTAGAAGAGAGACTGCATGTTGTAACGTTAGCTTCATGACTAACAAAATAACTTCTGAGAAAATACTCTGGAAAATCTAGTAAACCCTTTTTACTCCCCTTACATTAATATTTTAACACTTAGCTAGCTCAGTATGACTATTTACAAGGTTTTAGACACTATTATCCACTTAGAGAATAATGTCAGATGATATATTGATGCATTTAGCTGCTTACTAGTAATTTGAGTATATATGCTTAATGATACCTAAATAGAATTAAGATATATTTTAATATCTTTAGATATTTCTTGATTAGATACAGCTATTGATCAATAGATAAATATATACAAAACTACTCATATTAAATAGACAGTGTTTTTATACTGTTCTTTGGGGGAATGAATGATTTTCCAAATTATTCTCCCTCCTTCAGCCCAACTAGTTATATATTTTACTTTCAGTGGTAGTTGCTAGAATCTTATTCCTGCTTCCCTTTTAGTAGTATTGTCTTTTGTACATTTACAATTAGGTTTTGTTACTGTAGAATATTGAACTTGAGCAGTAATGACAAGGAAACATCAGAATTTATCATTAGGGATGATATTTTTTTGATTGAGCAGTTCTATCTGATCTTGTTGGCTTTCTTAAGAGGAGCTGTTGATGTCAGTTCCAGTCTGTTTATAAAACTTCATTGCCAGGGAAACAAATGACATAAAAACTATCGCATGTATGGAGATGGCTGAGCAGGTTCTTGGCTGGAACCAGATAGAGGGATATATGTAGATTTAGCACCGGGGGAAATACTGACAATATACCTATAACACAGCCTGCCCACTAGTGCAGGAACAGAACTTGCATGGAAAAAAAGCAGCTGCCTCACTGTAACTTATAAAGAATGCCTGTAGATGCCTACAAGTTGTATTTATTATTTTTTAAAATGTTTTTGTGGTGTTGGGATCCAACCCAGGGCCTGGGATATATTCTAGGTAAATGCTCTACCACTGAGCCACATCCTTGGCCCTAGGTTGAATATTTAACAGGAAAAGTCAAGGTATGATAATATCAAACTTTATTAAAATAACTTTTTGAAAATTAACATACAATGTACTTTGTATGCAATCAGCACTTAGAAGTGTATAATTAAATGGTGACTTTAAGGGATGCTGGCATATCCCATTAGGAATTTTTGTTTTATTGTACTTAACATATTTTTAAGCAAATTGGTTTTAATTATTGGTCTTTTGGGTACCATTTGGGGAAGAAAAAGAGAAGAAGGTAGTCTTAGTGTAACAGAACTGATAACCAGAGAAAGTGAATAAATGAGCACAGTAAAGATCCTTCCATTTTTAAATCCTTCCATTTTTAAGGGAATTATATTATCTTGAAATTTGAAGATATACTTAATTTTCTGGTATGGCACTCTGCTTTAGAAATCATACAGACATTTTAATTCATTTTTATGTGTAACAGAGTTGAATGTCAAAGTAGCAATTTTGGGAATAGCAAATAAGCATAAATACATTTTTATCAGTTCAGTTTTTTTCCTGAAATAATTTATTCTTCAGAGTAGATAATTGCTTTCTATAGTGATTTGTTTTTGCTTTAAGGAAAATAATTTACACGAAAGGAGAGATTAAGATAGACATTTTAAATCTTAGGCTGTTGGTTAGATGTTCTGGCTTAAGAAAGCAACACTGTTGGATTTGGTTTAAGATTTGCAGCGGGAGAACATGTGTGTTTCTCTGATATGTGCTGTCCAGAAAAAGTTCTTAATTCTCAACAATGTGTTCCATTCTCATATTGTGGAAATTTTGTAAGTAGGTTTGTTGTTGTTATTGTTTTCCTTTTTATCTATGCTGACTGTTGCTGTCTAAACATCTGAAAGAACACCAGCAGATTCATTTAATATGTTAATATTTAAAGATGTTTATTTGCAAATGTTCATAGCACATTTAAATTTTTGACACAAAGTTGCTAAATTATGTATAAAGATATATATATTTAATAAGTGAAAAGTATTATTTTATTACTGAAATTTATTTCCAAAGCAAATTTATTTTGTGAGTGTTTCATTTGGGAAATTTTACTTTGCCTCAAAACACAGTAAATAACCTTGTTTTGTGTTATGGTCACCTAACGGCCCCTTTTAGTTCACATTTTAACTTGGTATGTAGAAGGGTTTCAGAATTCTTTGATAACATTTGTTTTCCACTGTTGTTTGAATTAAACAAAAATAAAGTTGGAAGCTATTAAGTTTCCTGTCGAATCAGGGCCTCCTATATGTACTTTATAGTCCAATGTTTTATTATAAAAACTGTCAGCATCTATCTCCTCCTTCCTTTCCTCACTTCATTCTCAGCAGCCACAGCTTGACAGAGCAAAGCAGTTTTAGGAATTGAAGATGTGTGAGTTCTGTGTAAAATGAATGTGTTAGTAACACCCATCTGCCTATCAAATAGGTTCTGGTCTCAAAAAGTGAAATAGATTTAAAAGCATTTTAATCAATACAAATCAAGAACTGATACTTCTAATATAGAAACTGTGTTCTCAATGAGTATTCTCTTGGCTGATTTTGTGGTAATGTTATCATCTATGATTTGTAAGTTAATGCTGCTATGAGGTCTAAAATTTCAACATGAAGACAGCAGTTCCTGTAGCCTATTTTTACCATTTAGACATTTTTGAAAACAGATGTCATCTTAGAAATTATATTTTTAAGTGCAAATAAATCATCCCATCTTGAAAGTCAACATGTTTTGTTTTTCATTTCTTAGTAGTGCAGAATACTGTGTTATTAGATCCATGTTCAACTTGCCAGACTTTTTTTTTCTTCCAGAATTCTGTATTTTCATTTTGCTTCAACCAGTTTACCTACAACATGCTTTTGAATTGTTATTTAAATAAATGGTACTTGATGGAATTACAGTCATTGTGGTTGGTCTATTTGTGAAAGCTCTACATATCACCTCTTTTGCTGGTCTTTGTCATGTGATGTAGACTTAAATATTAAAAAAAATTTTTAGCAAGAATCTTTTTCTTCTCCCTGCATAACATGCAGGTAAAAAGGCTTTTCTCTGGGCCATGTTCTTGAGTGAACCCTGGGCACGAAGAGGTAAATGGCTGATGCAATTGTTTTAAAGGAAGATTACCTTTTTCTTTCATCTTTTATAATTTTAAAAATTGCCCTGAGATTTAAATTAGCTACTGACATGTCCTGTTGAAAGAGGAGTCTTAGCTTTCCCTGTAGCAAAGTGGACACAAAGCAAAACTCTGGGAATCAGGAAGTCTCTATTTAAGATCAAACTTGATAGTTTCTGTCATGTGATCTTGTACCCAACCATTTCACTTTGTCTAACCCTTACGCAAATTGTGAGAAAATCTACTGTACCACTAAACTCTAAAAGTCAGAAGAGGAATGCTTTACAAACCAGTTTCCTCATCTAGAACTTAGTCACCCATATTTACCTAATGACAAAAGAGGTGGAGGAGGGCTGGGAAGGTGGCTTAGTGGTAGAGTGCTTGCCTAGCATGCATGAAGTTCTGGGTTCAACTCCTCAGTACCACATAAACGGAAAAAGCTGGAACTGGCACTGTGGCTCAAGTGGTAGAGTGCTAGCCTTGAGCAAAAGCAGCTCAGGGACAGTGCCCAGGCCCTGAGTCCAAGCCCCAGTACTGGCCAAAACAAAAAAAAAAAAAAGAGAAATGCTGTTGAGCTGTGTTGGTTCAGGAAGAGGAAATAAATGTGATGACTAGCCTGTTTCTGCCATATCCTCAATTCTTCATTCCCCTAGTGAGTGATGCGTGTATCCTCTCCTCCCCTCTCCTGCTTGTCTTTCTTTTAGTCTTTCATATAGAGAGCTTGATAGATTTGCAAATACTGAGTTACAGCATTTGGTTTAAAAGCAACTTGAGCTAGTTTGAAACAAAACTTTCAAAGCATATATTGAATAGCTAAAGGGTAGCTTGTGGAGTTTAATTATCTTGAAGCAGTTGTACAAAGGAATTTCATTTCAGCATGTCATTTTGTAAGTACAATGCATCTTGATGTGAAGTTTAGGAGCAAGACTAGGAGATTATAAAGAAGTATCTCAATTCAGAATGGAAGTTTCTTAGAACATTTTTCCTCTTTCTTGGTACCTCTCCACATGAACTTCTACCTGTGTTCACAGAAACAAAAGTTGATTTTTTTCCCCCCTATCATATTCCATCTCTTATTTCAGCTGTGTAGGTCCAAAACTACATTGTCCTCATCCAGATTCTAGACTGCAAATGTCCACCATGGAGAATAAAAGGAGGTAGGAAATATGCTGCGCATGGTTTGAGTACTTCCTGTCCCGCCGTCTCACACAGCTTTACCTACTGCAGCTGGGCAGTAAGTTAGGACTGTGAGTGTCAAAAGAACCATCAGAAACAGATGGAGGAAAGTACTAGTGACGGATTTTCTGGACCCCAGATATGTGGTTGCTTTTCCCTTCATAAAGTATAGTTTTTCTGCTTCCACAGCCTCTTCTCATTGTGGCCAATGTTTCTTTTAGGTTTATTTCAAATCCGAATTCATCTCCAAATTGAGGAACTAAAGAGTTACTTATATGAAACTTGGGTACTGGTTGAACAGAGTAGGATAACACAATAAACATACCCAGATGGTAAGTATGAGAGACACAGCAAATAGTGGTTTATGGAAATTCTTAAATCCTATATTTTGAGAGTTCCTTCTTCCTTTGGAAATAAGGACTATTCCTTGGTTAGGTCTTGATCCCTAACCATAGAGATAGTGAATGTCCTTGTCCATTGTACTCTGTGGCATCTAGCATCACCTTCAGAGAGAATTCTTTTTTTTTTTTTCTTTTTTGGTCCGTCGTGGGGCCTGAATTCTGGGCCTGGGCGCTGTCCCTCAGCTCTTCAGCTCAAGACTAGCGCTCTACCACTTGAGCCACAGCGCCCACTACCAGCTTTTTCTGTGTATGTGGTGCTGAGGAATCGAACCCAGGGCCTCATGCATGCAAGGCAAGCGCTCTACCACTGAGTCACCTTCCCAGTCCCATTCAGAGAGAATTCTTATTTTCTCATAATTCCTTTGGCCCACATCTGAAGGGGCTGTCGGGGAGATGGCCCTCCACAGGAGCTGAACAACTTTCTCAGTTCCTTGCGTCACTCTGGGGCCATAGGATCATTCTAGATCTGAAAAAAAAAAATCACCATTTTTGTCAGTGCAGTTTAATTCAGCAATACAGCCATATAATTCTCAGAAAATAAGTCCTGAGTTCTGTCTTTGTCCTTTTTTTTTTTTTTTTTTTTTTTTTGGTAGGTCATGGGTCTTGAACTCTGGAACCTGGGCGATGTCCCTGAGCTCTTCAGCTCAAGGCTAACACTCCACCACTTGAGCCACAGGGCCACTTGTGGTTTTCTGGTGGTTAATTGAAGATAAGAGTCTCACGGACTTCCCTGCCTTGGCTGGCTTTAAACTGTGATCCTCAGATCTCAGCCTCTTGAGTAGGATTACAGGTGTGAGCCCTGCGCCTGGCAAGTTTTGATTATCGGATTCTGCATCATATACCAGATAGCTACGTTGTTGTCATTCCCAGTGATTGCATCAGCTGTGATGTAGAAAATGGCAGACTGCAAGCCTCACACCTGTAATCCTAGCTACTCAGGAGGCTGAGATTTGAGGATCAAGGTTTGAAGCCAGCTCATGCAGGAAAGGCCATGAGACTCTTATCTCCAAATAATCACAGAAAAACTGGAAGTAGTGTGGTGCTGTGGCTCCAATGGTAGAGTGCTAGCCTTGAGCTAAAGGATCCCAGAGATAGCGCCCATGCCCAGAGCTCAAACCTGAGGACAATAACAACTACAAACCAAACAAAAAGGCAGACAGCTGATTTTGCATTAGTCATAATGAGTTTAAGATTTCTAGGAGATAATTTTTAATGCTGCATGAACAGTAAATGATTCTGGAATTTAGGATACAGGTTTGGATTAAGGTGTTTGCAGTCTTGAACCTAGGATATAGAAAGCCATGTGACTGGAGACTTAACCTCAGGAAGTGTTAGTGATGATTTGTCAGTAACTATGATTTGTGTTTAAAGCTGAGTTGACCCTGTTAGTATTCAAATTGGATTATATATATATATATATATATATATATAAAAGCACACACACACACACACACACACACACATATATATATAAGCACAAACTTTAGAATGAGATCTTCTGATGAAACAAGGCCTTTGGCTTTTTGTTTTTTTTTTTTGTTTTTTTTTTTAGGTTTTTTTTTTTTTTTCACTTTTTTTTTTTTTTAAAATTTTATTTTATTGTAAAGCTACTATACAGAGGGTTATACATGAGTGAGGTAATGAGTACACTTCCTCTTGAACATTGTTACCCCCTCCATTGTTTTCCCCCTACCATCCCCTCCCTCCCTCCCTTCCCCGAGGTTCTTTTTTTTTTTTTTTTTGATTGTGATTAAATGATTACATAATTTCAAAGTCACAAGTTCATTCTAACTTCCCTGGAGCAAATTGTCTACCACAGTCTGTAATATATAACAGTGTTCACATGTTATATACCATGTTTGTGATCAGCAGCATGGGGATATTTAGTAGTGGTTCAACCAGATGAGCGGGAGTTCTTTGTTTCTTAAGTCCTGTTAGTTTTGTCGTATCACCTAACCTTTTGGATTTAGCATCCACTTATCAGGGAGATCATGTACCATTTGTCTCTTCGTTCTTGGCTTACCTCGCTCAACATGATTCCTTCTAGCTCCATCCATTTCCCTGCAAATGCCATTATTTTGTCATTTCTAATGGCTGCATAATATTCCATTGTGTATAGATACCACAATTTTTGGATCCATTCATCTGTGGTGGGGCATCTAGGTTGTTTCCATATCCTAGCTATTGCGAACAGTGCTGCAATAAACATGGAGGTACACGTGTCCTTGTATATTGGTTCCTGTTGTTCAGGGTAGATGCCTAGAAGTGGTATGACTGGGTCATAAGGGAGGTCAATCTTTAGCTTTCTAAGGACCCTCCAGACTGCTTTCCAAAGTGGTTGTATAAGTGTACATTCCCACCAGCAGTGTAATAGGGTTCCTCTTTCTCCACATCCCCTCCAGCATTTGTCGTTGGCTGATTTGTGGATGTGGGACATTCTGACTGGGGTAAGGTGGTATCTCAGGGTTGTCTTTATTTGCATTTCCTTCACCACCAGGGATGATGAACATTTCCTCATGTGTTTCTTTGCCATTTTTATTTCTTCATTTGAGAAGTCCCTCTTTAGTTCCCTTGCCCATTTAGTAATTGGTTTGTTAGGTTTGGGAGGGATTAGTTTCTTGAGTTCCCTGTATATACAGGATGTTAACCCCTTGTCTGATATATTGCTGGTAAATATTTTTTCCCAATTAGTTGGTTGTCTTTCTAGCTTAGTTGCGATAGATTTAGCTGTGCAGAAGCTTTTTATTTTAAGGTAGTCCCATTTGTCGAGTCTCTCTCCAACTTGTTGTGACCCTGGGACTCTGTTCAGGAAGTTCCTTCCTGTGCCTATTAGTTCAAGTGTCTCTCCTACTCTGTCCTGCAGTAGTTTCAAAGATTCAGGTTTAATGTTAAGGTCTTTAATCCATTTTGAGTTGATGTTGGTGCATGGTGATAGGCTGGGGTCCACTTTTAGTTTTCTGCATGTGGCTGCCCAGTTTTCCCAGCACCAGCGGTTGAAGAGGCTGTGTTTCTTCCATTGTATGTCTTTGGCTCCTTTGTCGAATATCAGCTGGCTGTAGGCCTGTGGATTTATATCTGGATCTTCTATTCTGTTCCATTGGTCTTCGGGTCTGTTTTTGTGCCAGTACCATGCTGTCTTTGTGATTATAGCTCTGTAGTAGAGTTTGAAGTTCGGCATGGATAGCCCTCCCATATTGTCTTTATCCCCTAGAATTGTTTTGGCTATTCTAGGTCTTTTGTTGTTCCATATAAATTTTTGGACTGTTTTCTGTATTTCAGTGATGTACGTCATTGGGATTTTAATAGGAATTGCATTGAATTTGTATATTAGTTTTGGAAGTATCACCATCTTTACTATATTAAGTCGGCCTATCCAGGAGCATGGGAGGTCTTTCCATTTCCTAGTGTCTTCTGCAATTTCTTTCTTTAACTTTTTATAGTTCTCATTAAATAGTTCTTTTACATCTTTGGTTAGGTTAATTCCTAAATATTTTATTTTTTGGGAGGTTATTGTGAATGGGGTTGCTCCCTTTATTTCCCTCTCTTCCTTTACGTTATCAGTGTATAGGAAGGCAACTGATTTTTGTGGGTTTATTTTGTATATATAAGCACAAACTTTAGAATGAGATCTTCTGATGAAACAAGGCCTTTGGCTTTTTGAAAACTCATATATCTGAAAGAGGCAGA